GGCGTGAGTTTAAGCCACCGGGTCTGGGACTTGAACTGCAGTTACATGGGAGTTCAGCAACACAGCCATTATTGCTAACTGCTGGCCCCATGGTCCCAGTGTTCTTTTTATGTTGAATTAGCCATTTACATTTACAAAACCTGGAAGTGCCTATGAATATCTGGGTATTAGCTTCCCCTGGTGAGTCTGAAACCTGCCGTCCTTGGCCCCACACATCTGCATGAGGACAGTTAACCAATCAGGGTGAGGGCTACCCAGCAGCCCCTGACTACCCGCCATTCTCACGTGCCCTAACTCTGGCCTCTGCAAGCATTAGAGTCACAGACCTTGGCTTGATGATGGGCTTAAAAAACTCTTAGCTTGGGAACCAGCAGTTAGCGTAATGGCTATGTCGCTGGACTCCCACGTAGTCGACCGTGGTTCGTGTCCCGGACCCGGTGGCTTAAAACTCACGCCGGGCGCGTGTGCGTGCGTGCCCAAGATCCCGAGAGGAGAATGGAGGAGAAGGGATTGCGGTGTGACCATCCCCCCTGGGGGGTGATTTCTCGCTTTCTGTCTCTATGTCTCTCTCTGTCTGTCTGGCGAGCGCATGCGCCCTACAGTGAAAAATCTCTTAAAAAAAAAAAAAATAAACTCTTAGCTTTAGAGTAGCTCTGGAAGGTTGGCATGTTACGCTTTCTCCACAATGTGTCAGTACTGCTTTGGAGAGCCATGAGACCTTGTGCTGAGGTTCTCTGGGCCCTTCTGACTGAGCATAGTCAGGTTGTATTCAAATGGTCATTTTCTTTTCTTTTCTTTTTTGGAGAGGTTTTTGCTGTAGGGTGTGTACGCTCGCCAAAAAGACAGAGACAGAGAAACAGAAATCGAGAAGTCACCCCCCAGGGGGGATGGCCACGCCGCAATCCCTTCTCCTCCGTTCTCCTCTTGGGATCTTGGGCACGCACGCACATGCGCCCGTCGTGAATTTAAGCCACCGGGTCCGGGCCTCAAACCGCGGTCAACTACATGGGAGTCCAGCGACATAGCCAATCATTCCATCAACTGCTAGTCCCTTGAATGGTCATTTTCTAGAAATTAGTGAGTATTGTTTAAACTTTACACAGTGAAACTATAATTATATTATGTGGCTAATTAAAAAATTAGAAGAAAATGAAGGGCCCAAGGGGCTCCATGATAAAAACGTGGCACAAGGCACATGCACATGGGAAGGTTGCTGGTTCACGTCCAGAGACGTCTCTGAGTACCCTGGGCGTGTGCGCGCCCGCGGGACCTCCCTGAGTACCCTGGGTGTGTGCGCCTGCGATCTGGGCTGACAGGCCAGGGGCAAACCGCAGTGTCAGGATCCTGTCAGGAGACCTGCGTCTCTTAGCTCTCTCCCTATTTCTCTCCCTGTCTCTCACTCACAGAATAAATAAACTTTTTAAAATTTTTTTAGAATTTATCTAATTGTATTTGTTATAATTATTGTTAATTTGCTATAAGGGTATATGTGCTCACCAGAGAGAGACAGAAAGAGACAGTGAGAAGAAATCAAACTGCCGTGTCCCTGACCCAAACTGCAGTGAGCCTGTGGGAATCCCGCGCCTTAACGACCATGCCACCCACTGGCCCCATCAACAGACTTTTTAGAAGAGAAAACCAGGGCTCTCACACAATACGTTGCGTTTTCGTTGTTCTTGTTTCCTCTGACTAAAGCAGTTTCTGGATCGTCTGCATTACCAACGGTGGTGGTCCCAGTCTTTGCTTTTTATAAACTTCAGTTTCTCTTTTCATAGGAAGAAAATCTCCGGAGAGCCAAAAAGGGGGATCTGAAGGTCAGCATCCATCGGATGGAGATGGAGAGGATCCGCTACGTCCTCAGCAGCTACCTGCGCTGTCGACTCATGAAGGTGTGGCGCCAGAGTCCCGGGGCGGTGAGGCGGTGCCGGCCGGGATGTAGACGAGTGTGCCGGGAGAGGGGACTGTGCCTGGGAGGTCTGGGCCTGCAGGTGCTGAGAGCCCCATGTCAGTGTAGCTAGAAGGAAGGGGTGAGAGGGTTCTGGGAGGCACATGTGGGAACTTCAAAACGTTTGTTGGAAAATGGGATTAGAGGATGAATTTACTCTGGTGCACAAAACAGTTTGAAATGAATGCACAGTTCTTTTTATTTAGGTTTTTCCAGAGGGCACATGCACTGCTAGAGACAGACAGAGAGAGACAGTGAGAGGGCAAGTGAGACACCCACCAGCAGGGATGGCCACACACAGTCCCTGCTCCTCCACTCTCCTCCTGGGATTTGGGCATGCACACACACCCGGCATGAGTCTTCAAGCTACCGGGTCCTGGACTCGAACTGCAGTCGGCCATGTGGGAGTCCAGCGCCCCATCCACCCTACCACCCCCTGGCCCCCATGCACAGCTTTTTCCTCCTGCACATTTCCATGCACTTTCTGAAGTCCCCCGTGTGGATGTGTGCTGCACAGCGCCGGAGCACGCGCACACCTGCGGCGAGTGTATCTGCTGTGTAATGGCGCCCCCTGCAGTCGCAGCGGCAGTGCAGAGAGTGCAGCTGGTGGACTGGTTGAGAAGGGAATACCGGCCAGAGAACTAGTTGGAAAAATCATTTTGCCTCTGTCACACGGACAGTGTCTAAAGGACTACGATATCTTGACATTCTCCTCTAGCCCTGCAGCTATCTAACTTACCAGACGTGCAGCTGTGAAGCATCGTATTTCGGGTAGTATCTGTCAGCCCTGGGTAATTCTGACTTCCTTGAAGTCTCTCCTCACTTGGTTCCATTTGTCTCAGTTATTAAAATAAAATGCATTCTTCCCTCTACGTGAGAGCACTTGAGATAGTTGAAGACAGCCCCCAAGTCTCTTCTGAGACTCCTGTCAGGTAGACATCTACCATCTGAGTCCGTCTCCTCTCCTGATCTCTTTGAAGGTTTTAGTTTGTGTTTACTTTTTTTTTTTTTTTTGGAGAGGTTTTTGCTATAGGGTATGTGCGCTCGCCAGACAGACAGAGACAGAGAGTCAGAAAGCGAGAAATCACCCCCCAGGGGGGATGGCCACGCCACAATCCCTTCTCCTCCATTCTCCTCTCGGGATCTTGGGCACGCACACATAACGTTTGTGTTTACTTCTTGAATTATGCTGCCCAGAACGGAGTACAGTTTCTCAGTTGTGTGGCCAGTTTTGGGAAAACAGGATGGTCACGTCTCTTATTCTAGATATTAAACTGGTGGGAAGGCCACTCGGTGTTACAATAGCACATCTGGCAGGTGCCCGAGGCTAAGCCAGCCCTGCATTCCCCTGAGCTGTAAGCCCCCTGAAGTCTAAGTTATAGTTACCGCTCTGGTCACCGTCCTGTATTGGTTGGACTTAGTTTTCCACCCCTATATGTAGGGCTTGGTAACTAACTCCCTTGAGCTTCGTCTTAGTCATTGGGCCATCTCCCTGGTCTGTGAGTCTGATCTTAGCCACTCTTAACACTTCTTGTCATCAGCAATTCTGACAAGTATGTCACCAAAAATACTCTCATTCATTCATGGGTCGGGGCCAGCCATAGGGGTATTTGCTTCCCTATGGGGTGCTCTTTGTCCATGGAATCCACACTCTGTGCCCAGCCCTTTATGAACCTGCTTCCAGCCGATCCTGCCGCCCAGTCCTGGGTTTGCGGTTTGTTCACGGAGTATTACAAAGACATAATGACGTGTTTTTAAAATGCACACTCTGCCTCTCCACCAGCCCCGCACCAGGCCCCTCGCCCTCGTATTTTCTAGCTGGGTAAATCTTCCTGTTAACTGTGTCCTCTTCTTTACCTTTACAAGCCTTCTTTTAAATCACCTGGTGTAGTGCCACACAGCAGTGTGAAGGCCACTGGTTACATCTTTAAATGCAGACCAGTGGCACTTCCTCTCCAGTTTCGAAAGCTAGCATGTGCCTGTCTCCAGCCTTTCACACCGCTTACGAATGTGGTCATTTGTTCAAGACCCTGAGACACGGGACATACACTTGCCGTCCGCAGAGCGATGTCGTGGCGGTGCATTGATACGCAGTGGGAGAAAGCACTCCATCAGCTGAAGCCCCCTGCCAGGGTGAATTTGTCATGGGGCATAACTGGACCAAACTGAGAGGCTGAGGCTCCTTTAAAACATCAGTGCCGGGACTAGCAGATGGTGTAATGGCTACATCGCTGGACTCCCATGTAGTTAACCATGGTTCAAATCCTGGACCCGGTGGCTTAAACTCAGGCTGGGCACATGTGTGTGCGTGCCCAGGATCCTGAGAAGAGAATGGAGGAGAAGGGATTGTGGCGTGGCCGTCCCTCCTGGGAGGTAATTTCTATCTCTCTGTCTCTGTCTCTCTTGTCTTTCTGGTGAGCACACGCGCCCTAGCAAAAACCTCTTTAAAAAAAATCAGTGCTGCTTTGTCCTGACCTCTGGTCCTCCTCGCCGTTGTCATTTCCTGACCCGAGGGAGTATTTTCTTTGACCGAGGTAACAGGCCTGCCTCTCGCCAGCCCCTAGTTCCTGCTAGCCCACCCTCTTTTTTTTAGAGGTTTTTGCTATAGGGTATGTGCGCTCGCCAGACAGACAGAGACAGAGAGTCAGAAAGCGAGAAATCACCCCCCAGGGGGGATGGCCACGCCACAATCCCTTCTCCTCCATTCTCCTCTCGGGATCTTGGGCACGCACACATAACGTTTGTGTTTACTTCTTGAATTATGCTGCCCAGAACGGAGTACAGTTTCTCAGTTGTGTGGCCAGTTTTGGGAAAACAGGATGGTCACGTCTCTTATTCTAGATATTAAACTGGTGGGAAGGCCACTCGGTGTTACAATAGCACATCTGGCAGGTGCCCGAGGCTAAGCCAGCCCTGCATTCCCCTGAGCTGTAAGCCCCCTGAAGTCTAAGTTATAGTTACCGCTCTGGTCACCGTCCTGTATTGGTTGGACTTAGTTTTCCACCCCTATATGTAGGGCTTGGTAACTAACTCCCTTGAGCTTCGTCTTAGTCATTGGGCCATCTCCCTGGTCTGTGAGTCTGATCTTAGCCACTCTTAACACTTCTTGTCATCAGCAATTCTGACAAGTATGTCACCAAAAATACTCTCATTCATTCATGGGTCGGGGCCAGCCATAGGGGTATTTGCTTCCCTATGGGGTGCTCTTTGTCCATGGAATCCACACTCTGTGCCCAGCCCTTTATGAACCTGCTTCCAGCCGATCCTGCCGCCCAGTCCTGGGTTTGCGGTTTGTTCACGGAGTATTACAAAGACATAATGACGTGTTTTTAAAATGCACACTCTGCCTCTCCACCAGCCCCGCACCAGGCCCCTCGCCCTCGTATTTTCTAGCTGGGTAAATCTTCCTGTTAACTGTGTCCTCTTCTTTACCTTTACAAGCCTTCTTTTAAATCACCTGGTGTAGTGCCACACAGCAGTGTGAAGGCCACTGGTTACATCTTTAAATGCAGACCAGTGGCACTTCCTCTCCAGTTTCGAAAGCTAGCATGTGCCTGTCTCCAGCCTTTCACACCGCTTACGAATGTGGTCATTTGTTCAAGACCCTGAGACACGGGACATACACTTGCCGTCCGCAGAGCGATGTCGTGGCGGGGCATTGATACGCAGTGGGAGAAAGCACTCCATCAGCTGAAGCCCCCTGCCAGGGTGAATTTGCCTGGACTCCCCTGTAGTTAACCATGGTTCAAATCCTGGACCCGGTGGCTTAAACTCAGGCTGGGCACATGTGTGTGCGTGCCCAGGATCCTGAGAAGAGAATGGAGGAGAAGGGATTGTGGCGTGGCCGTCCCTCCTGGGAGGTAATTTCTATCTCTCTGTCTCTGTCTCTCTTGTCTTTCTGGTGAGCACACGCGCCCTAGCAAAAACCTCTTTAAAAAAAATCAGTGCTGCTTTGTCCTGACCTCTGGTCCTCCTCGCCGTTGTCATTTCCTGACCCGAGGGAGTATTTTCTTTGACCGAGGTAACAGGCCTGCCTCTCGCCAGCCCCTAGTTCCTGCTAGCCCACCCTCTTCGAGTTTTTCCTTTTTCTGTATTTGATTGTGAGTTTTTCCCCTTTGTTCTTCCTTAGCCTCCGTTCACTCTGGGCTCATCCTTTCTGGTATTATTCCTGTAATTAAATGTCATCATTAAATCTGCTTGTGTATTCCACAGGCCTTATTCCAGCTCGGGTGTGCATCTCAGCTCACAGAAGAGCACCCACGCAGTTCCGCTGCACTGTAAATGGTAGTCCTCTTCCTCTTCCACGTCACTTACAGTGACATTTTCAGGTGCTCTTGTGTATATATTTTTTTTTTTGAGAGGTTTTTGCTATAGGGCACGTGCCCTTGCCAGAAAGACAGGGAGAGACCGAGAGATAGAAAGCGAGAAATCACCCTCCAGGGGGGGGAGGGTCACGCCTCAAGCCCTTCTCCTCCATTCTCCTCTCGGGATCTTGGGCACACACACACACACGCACCTGGCGTGAGTTTAAACCATCGGGTCCGGGACTCGAACCACGGTTGACCACGTGGGAGTCCAGCGACATAGCCATTATGCTAACTGCTGGTCCCAGGTGTTCTTTTATGCAAACATTCCATCCCTATTAAACCTCCTTCCTTGTTAAAATGGAGTGCTCATCTTTTCTCTGAATTCTCTGAAGCCAAAGTGTAGGTCTTATTATTAGAATCTTGACCGTGACCGTTTACCATTTTTGGAGTTATTTTTTAGATTAATCTTGACCTCTTTCAGAAAGAGGGTTGACAGGAGCTTTCTCGTTTTTTTTGTTGACAGGAGCTTTCTAGATGGATTCTGTTTATCCTCACAGATAGAGAAGTTTTTCCCTCATGTCCTGGAGAAGGAGAAAACACGCCCTGAGGGGGAGCCTCCCAGCCTTTCTCCGGAGGAGTTTGCCTTTGCTCGAGAGTGAGTGAGCTGGGCTGCGGGGCTGCCCTACCCCCGGCTTCACGGCGGCACCAGCTGTTCCCGCCAGGCCGCCTCAGCCTGGCCCGCGTCCGTCAGGCGGCCCAGTGCCCCTGCCGGTGCCGCTGCGACTTGCGTGTCTTCCTTTCAGGTACATGGCTAACACCGAGACCTACCTCAGGAACGTGGCCCTGAAGCACATGCCCCCCAACTTGCAGAAGGTGGCCCTCCTGCAGGCAGGTGAGTGGAGAGCTGCAGGCCCTGCCCACCCACACACCCTCAGTGCTTTAGAACAGGGTCTTCATCTTCCATCTCTTCCCAAGTGCGGGAAAAACACAGGTGTGCAGATAATCAGAAGCGCAGAGAGGAGGGGTTCTGGTTAAAACAGACAAACACTGTAGAGAGCAGGTGTACCGGGTGCTGTACCAGCACCTCGGGGTCCTCAGTCAGTGGCGCCCTCCTGCCTGCCTGTGTGAACACAGCTCGTGGTGTCCTGTCACCCACCCGTTCGGCAGCCAGCTGAGCGTCTGCCGGACTAACCCCTCTGAGGCCTGGAGACGCAGAGGTAACCCCAGCACCACCCTGCTCTCCAGGGCTGGCAGTCTTTCCCCTACAGTTTCTAGACGTTCAGGGACTGACTGGCTGGATGGGAGGGTTTTAATGGGAGGAGAAGGAACCTCCAGCAAGTCCCTGTTGCCTCCAGTAAGGTCTCTTCCTGTCTCGGTTGTGAAGCATTTTTCCAGCCGAGGAAGCCAGGGGTGGGAGGCAGGAGGGAGTGCAGCTGGGGGAGCTAGACCTGTGCTTCTGCCACCAGCCCTCCTCGCAGGACCCCTGCTGTGCCCAGTCTGCAAGTTGAGGCCTGGCAGGGGCCCTTTGGCTCCCAGTTGGCACCTGCACGCCTCAGTTGCCCACAGGTTGACTTGTCTGAGCAAGACCTTGTTGGGCAAGACCACCAGGCCAGACCAGACGGTTCTCCAAGAGACCGAACCCACCCCTTTCACAGGCTCAGTGTGGTGTGCAGAGGCCAGAGCTCGAGCCTGGAGTGGGATGGGGACACAGGGGACACCTGGCAGTGGAGCTGGGAAGCCTCGATCAAGGCCCCAGAGTCGGTGTCTGGTGAGGGTCTGTTCGTCACCACTGGTGGCTTGTGTGTGTCCTGACGTGGCTGAAGGGAAGGGGCGGGCGGGCTTCTTCTATGAAGCGGTAATCCCATGTCTGTGTCCTAATCACCTCCTCTGAGACAGGTCAGATTGGATTGGGGTTCAGCCTGACACCCTCAGTTACATGAGCTCAGCTTAATTACCTTCTTGAAAGCCTTTCTCCAAGTACGTGGAGACTTCAAAAAGTTCAGGTCAGCAGGTGGCATGGTGGTTAAGACGTTGGACTCCCACATGGTCGACCGTGGTTTAAGTCCTAGACCTGATGGCTTGCTTTCTCATTTTCCCTTTCTCTCTCTCTCTGGTCAAAAAAAAAAAAAAAAATTAAATAAACTTTAATTTTCAACAGAATACAAAAAAAAAAAAAAAAATTAAATACATTTTAATTTTAAAAAGTATATTTAAAATGAAATTAAAGTACGAGTTTAATTTGGTTTAGTAAATTTTTGAAATCTATGCTTAGTTTTTTTGGTTTTTTTGGAGAGATTTTTTTGCTATAGGGCGCGTGCGCTCACCAGACAGACAGAGACAGACAGAGAGACAGAAAGCAAGAAATCACCCCCCAGAGGGGATGGTCACGCCTCAATCCCTTCTCCTCCATTCTCCTCTCGGGATCTTGGGCATGCACGCACACGTGCCCAGCGTGAGTTCTAAGCCACCGGGCCCGGGACGCGAACCGCGGTCGACTTCGTGGGAGTCCAGCGACAGCCATTACGCTAACTGCTGGTTCCCTATGCTTAGTTTTTTGTAATGCTCTTTTTCTAAGAGCCTTTGAAGACTCATACAGTCTTTCTGAAGTAGGGGGTTAGGGTGTCAAGGTAGGCTGTGGAGGGGGATCAGTTCCGCCCATAACACCAGGAGCCAGCCAGAGCTGTCCCACAGCCTGGAAGCCTGGGCAGGTCACCACTGAGCTCACCTAGGGGAACAACAAACCGGCCCACGGCTGGTTCCTCCTGGTCCACCATGCTGTCTGCCTCTGCACCCCTCGTCCTACCCATAGCCAGCTTATCCAGGCCGTTAGGCCAGCTGAGGGGCCCCGACAGTGCCACTGTGGGATCCTGGAACTGGGTCTTGGCGGTGGCCACACCACTCTGCCCTGCGGCTGGTGGACGCCTCCTCAGTCAGCGCAGGTTTCTCGTCCTGGATGCCCTGTGAGGACTGGAAGTTAGGCAGGCCGTGCTGGCTCTAGCCAGCCCTGTGAGATCGGGTCTCCCTCAGCCCAGATGCCTGAGCCTGCCTACCGCTGACCCGCTGCCAGGGCGGGAAGCACATGGACCCCAGCCGGGTTTCTGTAGTCAGAGACCTCTCAGTGGGCGGAGGGATCCGACCCACGTTTCTTGAAGCAGTCCACAGGGTTCCTTACACCTCTGGAGCCAGGTGTGCAGAACCCCTTCCCAGAGATGAGAGCGCCACGGGGAGCGTGGGACCTGAGCTGGCTCCTGGGGCTGGGGGAGGAGGGGGCTCTGGGACATACACAACCTGGGATGGAGGGGCACACGCTCTCAGTCCTGGGGTGGCAGACGAAGGGCGGCGCCAGCGAGGCCCCAGCAGAACCTGTGTCCTTGGTCTGAGGGCAGGACCAGTCTTCCCGACACCACCTCGGTGTGGGAGAATTTCCCAGCTGGATGCGCACCGTCCTCACCCCGAAACTGCGGCTCTCCCTGGCCGAGCCCCTCTGCTCCTGCCCCTGCGTCGGGGGTAGGTCTGTGCAGTGACGGGATGCCACACTGCAGTCCCCCGACAGCTGTGTCATCCTGCGGCGTCACCTGTGGGATGAGTGGTTGCCCCAGCGCGTCTCCCGGTGCAGCCCGGGGCGGGGCTCGTTCTGATGGCATTGTTCTTCCGGCAGTTCCTAAACCAGATTTGGACTCTTACGTGTTCCTGAGAGTGAAAGAACGACAAGAAAACATCCTGGTGGAACCAGAGTCCGATGAGCAGAGGTGAGTGCCGTGGGCGCCGTTGGGGGATAGCGCTGCCTCCTGGGAGCCCGCTGGGTCTACAGGTCCACGCTTCCCCTTTCCCAGGGACTACGTGATCGACCTGGAGGAGGGCTCACAGCACTTGATCCGCTATAAGACCATCGCACCTCTGGTCGCCTCTGGAGCAGTCCAGCTCATCTAAAACCAAGAACAGACAAACGTGAAGGCGAAGCCCAGGAGAAAATGCTAGAAATACCGACACCGCTTTGTGCCTAAGGACACTGACATGATTATGTGCAGTGTCCTGGATCTGCTGGGCTTTGGAAAGGAGCTCAAGGCAGCTTCCCTAACAGAACACTGGCCTCCTAAAGGCTGCTCCCCTAACAGAACACTGGCCTCCTAACCATGCGGTTTTAGCCTTGGTCAGCAGAGGGGGCCGTTGCTCTGCCTGAGCTGAGCATTAGCTGGATAAAGCCGGCGGCTCCGTGCACCTTCACCCTGCCCGGTGTATTTTGAGCTAAGGAAAGTGAGACAAGGTGGCTGGTGAGGATGCCTCGCTGCTGTGATCAGGGGCTGCGTTGAGCCCCAGCCTGGTCACTGTGGGAGAGTTCATTTCACCCGGGAGGAAGACTGTAAGTAGATTAGAGAAAACAGCCGTGGCATCCCCTGTGTCACGTCATTCGATTGTGTGAACTGATCTTTTGGGTCCTCTAATGTTGGAGTTAAACCCACTTTCTGTCATGTGTAACAGGAAGTCACAGCTAAACCAATAATCCATGATTAAATTTCAGTTTGATGGCAGAAGGAGCCTCTGGACTGGTCTCTGCTTGTGTTCTAACGAGGTATGCTCTCCCTGCTGCCAACCTGCATCCCCCCCCGACTCCCGGCTGCTTCGCCAAGCCAGCCTCCGGGCCATCTGGCCACTGTTGGCTGAGGCTCCGTTAGAGAGCAGCTGTCCCCATCCTGAATTGTGACCTCAGTAGCCATCTCTCTCTGAAGCTCTTCACCTCCTCAAAGGAAATGGATGAAGTTAACCTCATGTGCAGAGTCTCACAGTGGTACTTAGAAGAAGGATGTACAGCTGGTCAATTTTCGCTCCTTAAAGCGGGGTTAGAAAGCAACCTGCAGGGGCTGACGGTGACATGGAGGTGAAACTCAGTGATCTGCAAGGGTCCCCACGTGGGAAGGTTCCCAGTTCACAACCAGAAACCTCCCTGAGTGCATCAGGTGCACCTGTGCCCATGGCCTGGGCTGGCTGCAGCTGGGGGTGGATCGCAGCACCAGGACTCTGTTGGTGCTATCTCTCTCTCTCTCTCATAGTCACGGGGAAAATTAGTACTCGTAATATTAATTAATTAATAATTGCATCCACCTTTATTGTGAGGTGTTCCTAGGAAGACTGCCATCCCTGAGAAGGGCTTGCAGGCCCCCATGCGGGTTTTTCCCTGCCACGAGAATTGAACCAGCTACGACCTTGCAGTGAGACCCCAGCTGTGTGCACCATGGCAGCCACTGTGGCTTTAGGGTCACCCACTGAACTTCCTTCTGTGATAAACCAGTGTAGCCATAAAGCTGTCAGTGAATGTTTAAGCAAACACATTATATGTTAACTCCCCCTTTATTAAATTGTCAGAGGACATGTGCACATGCGTGAGAGACAGAGAGAGAGCACCTCCCTACAGGGCTGGTCATGCCACAGTCTTGTCCTCCAACCCTCCATCCCATTAGGATCCTGGGCACATGCATGCGTGCCCGCCGTGAAGCCCGTGGGGAGACATGAGCCCTAGTGGGCCATACGGGATCTGGCTTCCTCCGCATGAGGGGCTGGCCGGTCCTCGGTCCTTCGTGGCATGTTCTTTAGTGATTTATCTCAGGAAGCTAAGTGCTCTAAACATTTAGGATTCTCCCAGAATTGTTTTTCAAATGTATCTAATCAATTGACCGTGAAAGTAGCTTCATTATGTTGTCAAAAAAACTTTATTTTTTAAAACGCAAAATCAATATTGTGTACTGACTTAACAGATTGGGTTTCAAATAAGTTGGCCGTTTTCAAAAAAAAAGTGGCTATTCCTTCCTTGGCTAAAAACAACTAGTAGGAGTATTGAAAGGCGCGCACCATAGATTCCAGAGGCAATACGTTATTTAATCCTTATCAAGTGTTTCCCGGGAATCAGACTGTTCTGTGCTTTAGGTAGATTAATTTATAAATCTTCCCAACAACCCCATGGAAGAAATACTTGAGATTTTTGGAATGGCACAGAGACTGCTGCATTTCTTCCCATGGAATATTCGACCACGTAGGGTGTATACTCCTGTCTCTGGATGATCCCTGCCCATGGCAGCGCAAACGCATTTTGTCCTGTTGAGAATGAAGGAAAATACCCATTTGAGTGGGTTTTAACACTTTTCTGAGTCTCTCATTAAATAGTAAGTCAGATGAAGTCTGCCCCGTGTTCATTTTGCATTTGGATGAGTCGGTAGAACCTACCCTCTAGGTGTCGACAAATTTCCCGTGTTGTATATATTGATGAAGGGGTTGCTCTCCCCATTTCAGAGGTGAGAAAATGCCCCTCTACTGAGGCCACGTGGCTATGCAGTAGAGCAGATGCAATTCAGGTCCCAGGGAGCCTGGAGCACGAGCCTTCCTCTGAGTCATCTCGCCAGTGCTTTCCACAAAAGGAAATATGATCCGAAACCATTCTGAGCCGTGGTGGCTTCACTGGGTAAGTTCTCTTTCAGAAAACCGCTTCCGAGGATGTAACCACTGCCCTGCCCGTTACGTTAGGGGATAGGGCGTTTTTCTTCACACGGGAGTGTTTTCTGCTTTGGCGGCCCTATTCTACAAGCCTCAGCGCTCACAAATTCTACCTGATTTGTGAAGACAAAGCCATTCAAAATAAGGTCAGCAAAAAACAATTACGTAAGTCTGGTCTCTTGTGCAGTTCTACGAGGTTCTGTGGGAATAAAAATAAAAGTGAGTGATCATTTTTGCCCCTAAGGAATTTACAATGAATTTGAAGAAGACTTCTTAGGGGTTCAGTCTGAAAATATGAGATCATTTGGCTCAGAAAAAATTTTAACCCCTGGATTAAGTAGAGCAAAAGAAAATTATTTTCTTGGATACAAAATGCTGCATATGAGTGAATTCATCCCCCTCCACCCCCAACATTCCAGCCAGGCAAGATCAAGAGTTGGGGCCACCCCGGATTGCACCGCTGTGGCAGGGCCAGAGAATACTTTAAGCCTCTTGAGTGGAGTGTTACATGGCCCCAAAGTTGTTCTCCACCCAAATGTATGGTTTGTTTTGTTTTTGTTTTTTTTATTTATTTATTTTACCATAGGGCGTGTGTGCTTGCTGGGGAGAGAGAGAGGGGAAATGAGAACCCCTGAAGGGGGAAGGCCACACCACAGTCTCTCCTCTATTCTCAGGATTTTGGGCAGGGGTGCACATGCACCCAGCGGGCGTTTCAAGCCGCCAGGTCCAAACCACGATTGGCCTTGTAGGAGTCCAGCACTTTAACCACCAATGCCACCTGCTGGCCCCTCCTTCGGTTTATAGTAGGTCAGTTCAGCCTACTTCTGGTGTCCGGGGCCTTCCAGCCTTCAACAGCTGCGTCTCCACTCGGGTCCTCTGCAGCGTGTCCAGTCCTGAGCCGGCTGCTAACCGCAGGCCGTCAGCAGTTCCGTGCATGACACAGACTGCCTAGGGCTGTTTCGTCAGTCACTTTCTCTTGGTTCTCCAAACATTGTTTCTTTTTCTTTCGTGGGAGAAGTGGGTACACTTGACATGGTCTCCTGTCTCCTAGTGCCTCGTTTTCCCCTCAGTCAGGACCACAGGCCGTCCACAGGCACCCCTGCCATTCAGATTCCCGCTGACTCCGAACCCAGCACCTTCCCCTTGGGCTCAGCACAGCGGCGCCCCACCACAGCTGCCGCCTGAATTCTATTTCTGCCTCAGACGTGACCCCAGAAACCAGTATCCCTAGAGAAGTGTGTGAGTTCTTTTACCAAAGAAACGTGAGTGACATCTCCACGTCTTCTAAACATGAGAGCCGGAGACATTACCCATTGTCTTCTATAGAAGGATCCATGTACTAAATTTTCTGGGAATGTGCAAGTAAAGATTTGTTTCTTCAAACTTTATGCTTCATCTGATCAGACGATTGAGTCCTGTCATTACCGTGTCTGGCCTCCCTGCCCGGGAGCTCAGGGCCGCCTGGTGCACCCACCGCCCCAGCCCAGCTCCCTTGTAGCAGGGAGCCTTAATTTCAAAACTACCACAAACTCGGGAGAGAAGTAAGTAAGGAATAAATAAGCACGTGTCAGTGAGTCGGACATCATAGTCACCAGAGGTTCCTGCTTTTTTTTCTTAATAATAATAATAAAGTTAAATAAAATAATTCTTTAGAAATAAAAAGGACTGAACAGGTCAGGTACATGGCACAGCAGAGACGGCCCATGCCAAGAATAGCTCCCGGTTATGGGCCGGAGCGCAGGCTCAGACACCGGCGTGTGCTGTGCATGCAGAAGAGCACGGCCCTGGCTCTTGCAGCTTCCAGCCAAGAGATGGGGACTCAGCACAGGGCAGAGCGGTGTGCGTGTACGAGGAGGGTGGGCCTGGGGTTACGAAAGCACACTGGAAGGTCTGCAAAGACAAGGATTGTGGGAGCTCTCCAGAAAGGGCAGTGCCTGAGCTGAGGTGCCAGATTGGAGGGTGAGCCAGGCCAAGGAGGGAAGAGGGCATGGCTGTTTGGGACAGAAGAGCAAAGCCACAGAAGACACAGGGTCATGGAGGACTCCTGGGGTGCCACGGAGCTGGGTATGGCAGCAGCACCGGGGACAGTGGGGTGCAGGGGGACCCGCGGGTCCGCCTTCTCGGAGTCTCGTGGGACTTGGATTGTACGAACTTTTCCTTACAGGAATCTGATGTGCTGCAGGGTCTGGAATTTGCACTAAAACATTTGGGGTCTCCTGAAAGACCCTGATACCCTCTAAGCTAAGATCAACTTAGACCTGTCTGGTACCTGGAGAACCAGAGCCCAGATCCAAGGGCTGGATGCCAGGTGCTGGAATCCAGGTGAGAAAAAGGAGGACCTTGAACATGAAGCTGGAGAAAGCGTGCCAACAGGCAGGCACTTCTGCTGCTTTATGGTAGATGAAGGAATTTGAAGAAAAGTGGTGATTTTGTTTATTTCTTTTTTCTTTCTTTTTTAGAGGGATTTTTGCTATAGGGCACATGCACTCACTGGAGAGACAGAGACAGAAAGCGAGAAATCACCACCCGGGGGGATAGCTATGCTACAATCCCTTCTCCATTCTCGGGATCTTGGGCATGCATGCACAGGTGTCCAGCGTGAGTTTTAAGCTGCCGGGTCTAGAACTTGAACTGTGGTCGACTATGTGGGAGTCCAGCAACGTAACCATTATACCACCTGCTGGTCTCTTGTTTATGGAGACAGGCACCCCCACAGGGGCCTTGCATTGTGATCCACCCCATGTCAGCCAGCCCAGATCATGGGCATGCGTGTGGTCAACCTGTACAGGGAGGGCCCAGGACACGAACCCAGGACCTTTCCCATGTGAGTCCAGCAGCATTACTGCTGCATCACCACCTGACTCCTTGACATCATTCCGATCAACTCTCACACCGAAGGCAATTTTTAAATGGATGAAATACAAAAGGCACTTTTCTAAAGCCTTCGAATATGTAGCAAGGTTGTGAGGAATGGTTGCACCAGGATCTGCGAGACTGAAATTGAGAAAAATGGGATGGCATGCCTGGCAAAGTGCTAGCTGAGACT